TGTTCCCACTTTGTTTCCATTCTTGTCCCACTTTGGGGTTCTTGCGTACACTTTGTTCTGACTTTGTTTCCATTCTTGTCCCACTTTGCGGTTCTTGTTCCCACTTTGTTCCCACTTTGTTCCCATTCTTGTCCCACTTTGGGGTTCTTGTTCCCACTTTGTTTTTACTTTGTGCCCATTCCTTTTTTAGTTTGGGGTTCTTGTTCCCACTTGGTTCCCATTCTTGTCCCACTTTCCATATTTGTCCCACTTTGCAATTCTCGTTCCCACTCTGTTCCCACTTTGTTTCCATTCTGGCCCCACTTTGGGGTTCTTGTTCCCATTCTTGTCCCACTTTGGATTTCTGGTTCCCACTTTGTTCCCGTTCTTGGCCCACTTTAGGGTTCTTGTCCCCACTTTGTTCCCACTTTGTTTCCATTCTTGTCCCACTTTGGGGTCGTTGTTCCCACTTTGTTTCACTTTGTTCCCATTCTTGTCCCACTTTGGATTCTTAGTGAGCTTGCGGTTGTCTTGCAAAAGGGCCACTGGAATGATGCGCATGTTTTTGTACGTCATCTCGCTAGTTACGGCTACCCGCTGGTTCTCCAACCTCTTGCGCATACCAGATGCCACAGTTGCCCCTGCACCTGAATCTGACTTGGCGCGCTGCTCTGGGCTATCTGGATTTCTGTTGTAGTCCGAGGCAAAGACGGATGCAGGGTGTGGTGTTGGGGGTGATGCCTTCTTCCTCTCTAGTTTCATGGTATGGTTGCCAAACACCTCTGCACTGACAGCCAGAGCAGCATCAAATTTTTGGAGCTGCCCTTCTGACTGGAACCATAAGTTGAGCTGGATGTTACCATCGCCCATGTGGACAATACATTTGTCTGGGGCACCCCGTGCTTCAGCTTGCGCAGCATTGTGAAACAGCCCTCTGCGAGCACCGAACTGTCTGCCCCACCCCGAAAGGACACCAGTGACGTTGTACCACTCACTTGCCTGGCACAGGGGATAATTCAATCAACTTGACTAACAAACCCAATACCCGTGAGCACATGAACCACTCTAAATCAAAAAGACCCAAAACTTATGCCCCAAAGCACCGAAATCACCAAACTAAGCCATCAAAAAAACACGCCCCAAACAACAAATCACCAAGGGCTAACTATGGGGGTTGAGCGTCGGGGGCAACCCAACAGAAACACAAAAGGCAGGTTCACAAAAGAATGAAGATAACGAACAGAAAAGAATGAAGTAATAGAAGCAAGAAAACGAATAGAAGCAAAAGAGCAAAGAGAAGACACAAAAGAACGCGACACAGCGGGAAAGGAGGTGCAGAAGGTGACAGGGAGACAAAAGCAGAGACGGGACAAAGTCGAGAATCTCTCTCTCGTCCCTCTCTCTCTCTCTCTCTCTCTCTTTTATCTCTGTCTCATCTTTCTCTCTGATAAGCCAAATGGCAAGCAAAGTGCAAAGGCTTCCATGACTTGCGGATTTAACTTGGGGATCTATTCAATCTTCCTGGAACTGTCGCTTCATCAATCTTTGCTGCTGAAAGGAAGACAGATTGAACACAATAAAACAGACAATACATGTCCAGATTTGTTTAGCCGGCGCCTGTGAAGCTGTAGCCACTTCAGCATCAGGGAAGGAAACGTACAAAGGTTTTTTCATGTCTTCACCTCCTGCGATTTCAGCAACTCGAAGGTCTGCCCGAAGTGCTTCGGAGCCACCATCTTTTGCCTCTTCACTCTGAAAAAGCTGAAGCGTGTTCACTCCCCGTGAATCCAGCTCTGGGTGAACTTCCGCCTTGACTGCCTTCAGCAGGTCATCCACATCGTGCAACTCTGTTATACTGATCTTGGTGGGTCTCACACCGCCTTTCACTTTGACCCATAGATGCTTCTCACGTCGTGGAGACCTGCTCTTCTCTGCCATGGCGAGCGCCAGCACAAATCAAATCTCCGTTTGTTTCCCCGTTGTGCGTTCTGTCTCCAGTGTGTCATGGAACTCAGCCCAAGAGATGCAGCACATCGAACTCTCAGAACAATTGCAATGCTTCAGAAAGCAAAACTACATGGTCTTGGTTTTTGTTAAGGATTTCATTACCAACTCGGCTCATTTGGTTGGTATGCTGCATGTAGTTGCGCGCCTTCACAGAAGAAACTACCGCAAATCGAAAATTGGCTTCAGCAAGCACGCTGCAATTGTCAGAGGCATTTCCTTTTACTCCAGTTAGCAATCAGGACCACCACTAAAATATGAAAAACAAATAGTTGAATGATTGAAGATGTAATAAAGGTTCACTCTCGTCCGTTCGGAGTTGCGACGGCTTACACCTATGAAAGAGATTCCACAAAAAGTATTCTGAGGTTTGCAAATGTCTTTGAACTGGAATTGAACCAGAAATTTTGTGAATTGATTGTTTTTTCCTTTTCACTATCGTGGCCACAGTTTGAGCCGTTATCGTCTCCTTAATCATATGTGTCGTCACGGTCACCATCATCATCATCATCATCATCATCATCGCGCGGTGACCGTGCATTGTTGCCACCCTACATTGGGCAGGAGGGCCTTGCATGTGAAAAGAAATATTCAAAAGTTTGTGGAAACGGGTAATCCTAGTTTCAGTATTCCTTCGTAGACATATCAAAGAATGCACAAATTTAGGTTTGCTTAATTTCTTCTCCACGCTGCGGTAATGCCCTCTATCTAGTGTTTGAACAGTGAGGTTCAAAGCAAAAAACTGGTTTCATGGGAATTGAAACGTTGGAGGTGTAGAAACGGCAAAACATGGCGTTGATATGTGTATATATGAGGTTTGCATACAACCTGTGACTATCTGGGCGCGTGGATTTTTTTCTGAATACGGTAAGTGTGATGTCACGCGTTGAAATGAATGGCATTGATTGGTTTTTGTCTCAAGCTTATGACCTTGTCGGCTCCAAACATAGCCATCTGCCATGGTGCCCTGATTCAATGTACGCAAAAAACGGTCCAACTCAAGCAGATCACGTCCAAAAGATTTCGATTAGCGAAACACACTTAGAAAACAAATAACTGTACATCCTTCCTCTGTAAATGTTGCCATGTTCTTACCCCTTGTTTTTTCCATTTTTCCAGATGTTTTCTGAAGCGTTGATTGTTTCAACATCAATCCAGTTAGCGAATTTTGCCCTTTCAAACAATCCGTGCATCTCACACAATAATTGGCACAAGAATGGGAACCAAGTGGGACCAGCGGGAAGAAGAACCCAAAAATGGGACAAAAATGGGGGAACAACAACCAAAATGGGAACAAGAACAAAAGTGCGACAAGAATGGGAACAAAGTGGGATCAAAGTGGGGAGACAGACCCGCAAGTCGGACAAGAATGGAAACAAGAATGTCACTATTCTTCCCGCTTTCGGGTTCTTATTCCCACTTTGTTCCCTTTTCGCTTTCTTCCTTTTCTTGTCCCATTTTGGGGTTCTTGTTTCCCCTTTGTTCCCATTCTTGTCCCACTTTGGGGTTCTTGTTCCCACTTTGTTCCCGTTCTTGTCCCACTTTGGGGTTCTTGTTCCCACTTTGTTCCCACTTTGTTCTCCTTCTTGTCCCACTTTGGGGTTCTTGTTCCCACTTTGTTCCCATTCTTGTCCCACTTTGGGGTTCTTGTTGCCACTTTGTTCCCACTTTGTTCCCATTCTTGTCCCACTTCGAGGTTCTTGTTCCCACTTTGTTCTTATTCTTGTCCCACTTTTGGTTGTCCCACTTTGGGGTTCTTGTTTCCACTTTGTTCCCACTTCTTGCTCCCCTTCTTGTTCCCACTTTGTTCCCATTCTTGTTCCCACTTTGTTCCCATTCTTGGGCAAGAAATTTGAACAAAGTGGGGACCAAAGTGGGAACAAGAACCCAAAAGTGGGACAAGAATTTGAACAAAGTAAGGAACAAAGGGGGGTCAAGAACCCAAAAGTGGGAAAAGAATGGGAACAGAGTGGGAACAAGAACCCAAAAGGGGGAGAAGAATGGTGACAAAGTGGGAAGAAAGTGGGAACAACGTGGGAACGAAGTGGGCACAAGAACCCAAAAGTGGGACAAGAAATTTGAACAATGCGAGGAACAAAGTGGAAAAAGAACCCAAAAGTTGGACAAGAAATTTGAACAAAGTAGGGAGAAAGTGTGAAAAAGAATTCAAAAGTTTGACAAGAATGGGAAGAAAGTGGGAACAAAGTGCGAACAAGAACTTGAAAGTGGGACAAGAATGGGAACAAAGTGGGAACAAGAACTTCAAAATTGGACAAGAATGGGAGTAAAGTGGGACCAAAAGTGGGAACAAGATCCCAAAAGTGGGGCAAGAACGGGAACAAAGTGGGGAGAAAGTGTGAAAAAGAACCCAAAAGTGGGACAAGAATGGGAACAAAGTGGAGCAAAGTGGGGGCAAGACCTTCAAAGTGGAACCAGAACGGGAGCAAAATTGGGAGCAAGAACCCAAAAGTGGGACAAGAATGGGAACAAAGTAGGAACGAACCCAA